TGGCTAAGTTTAAATGGATTTAGAGAAAAAGATAGAGATGGAAAGAGAGAGAGAGAGAGAGAGAGAGAGAGAGAGAGAGAGAAAGAGAGAAAGAATGAAGTAGAGAAATAGAAATAGAAATAAAAATAAAGAGAGAGAGAGAGAGAGAGAGAGAGAGATAAAATGTTTGTACCGATGTAGACATATATATATGTATATATAGTACTATTTCTATAGGATTTTACAAATTGACCTAACGAGTTTAACGTTTTCAAATGATTACGAGGATTTGGGAAAATCAAAGAAAAGAACAAAAGTCAACCGACATATATTTGCTTGGTGAATTGCTCAAACTTCTGTTTCCTTCTCTTTCTCTCTTTCTCTTTCTATCTCTTTCTCTCTGATAAAAGTCTGTCTACATATTAGCTCAACAAAGTAAACTGCTATTATCGTTAGCAAAAAGCTAAATGAGATTTCGGAAGAGTTGCGCATGTTCCAAAAGAGAGAGAGAGAGAGGGGGGGGAAATGAAGTATATAAAGTTTCGAGTCAAAATATAATATATATATATATATATATATATATATATATATATATATGTATATATATAACATGATTTACCGGGTTCGAACACCACGGACGAGTTGTTCCTTTTATCGATATCCTTTTCGTGAAGAGGGTTGAAAGTATCGAGACAGAAGGGTGATGATGACAAAAAAAAAGAAAAAAAAAAAAAAAAGAAATTATTTGATTTCCTGCAATAACGCGGTGACAACGCGAAAATTTCTAATCGACCAAGATTATAAGAAAAAAAAAAAAAAAAAAAAAAAAAAGAAAAAGGAAAATAAATAAATAAAAGGAAAAAGGTGAAAGGAAAAGACAAAAGAGAAAAGAGAAGGAACGAAGAAAAAAGTATCACGAAATTTTGTCGATTATTTGATTGACAGAAAAAAAGAAAAAAGAAACAAAAAAAAAAAGAAAAAAAAAAAAAAAAAGAAAAGATAAAAAAGAAAATATTTGACCTCGGACCATCAATATCCGACCTACTAATTTTTAATTATTCTTTAAATTAATTAAGACATTATACTGATGATATATATAGAAAGAAAGAGAGAGAAAGAGAGAGAGAGAGAGAGAGATGAATGAACGCGTTTCTCGATGAAGAGGTATTTCGTAATACGCGAATGTTACATCTAATATCTCGTTTCTCTTTTCATTAATCGAACGAACATAATCCTAATTCTATAGGAGTGCGATTACTTTGGTTGATAACGCCGTAAGCAAAATATAATAATACGAGATAACATGATCCGACTACGTGTTTGCTAATAATTATTAGAGTATCGTTTTAATATTATATTTTTTAATTTCCTTTTCCTATTTTTTTTTTCTTTTCTCCCTTCCTACCCTCCCTGACCTCTCCCCACCCCACTCCCGCCCACTGATATCCACCATTTTAATGAATTATATTTGAACGATTATTTATCGGAGATCATATGTCAGGGATGATTTGCTAACGATCACGAGTTGCAATAAAAATAAGTATGAATGAAAATAAAAGGATTGGTTGTTTTTTTAAACGTTTATGTTATTAACGATAACAAAAACGAATGCCGTAGGATGATATAAACGCGTGACACATTAGGTATTATCTGCATGAGCATTATGCAGAAAATATGCAGAAACAATGAATAATGCGTTTAATGCAGCGATATCGATTATGTATACCCCGTTCCTCTTTCTCTCTCTCTCTCTCTCTTTCTCTCGCTCTCTCGCTCTTTCTCTCTCTTTCTCCCTCATTCTCTCTATCTCTTTCTCTTTCTATTCATATCAAGCGAGTTAAAAATATTGCGAGGAAGGAGAATCGAAATAACAAAGATTTATCGATGATACATTATCGATATTATCAGTCTCGAAAGTATGCAAGAGATCATGTAGTACTAATAAAAGGTAGCAACTATCGCATTATATCTTTTTTCAAAATCTTTACAATATTATATTTTACAATAGGCAAGTAAACAAACGAAAGTATGCAAAAAGATAAAATCATATTTTATATTGGACTCAAATAATATAGAAAGAAAGAAAGAAAGGAAGAAACAAAGAAAAAATATAATGGCAAATAAAATAAAATAAAATAAAATAAAATAAAATAAAATAAAAAAAAAAAAAAAAAAATAAGGTAAAATAAACTCGAGAGCTCGAATAAGAGCTTCATAAAAAAAAAAAAAAAAAAAAAAAAAAAAAAAGAAGAATATGATACAAATCTTCGTTCTGTCGTCGATGCGTTCACAAAAAAAAAAAAAGAAAAAAAAATAAAAAAAATAAAAAAAAGAAAAAAGAAAAAAGAAAAAAAAGAAAAAAAGAACGATAATAACGAATGATTAACTTTCACGATGAATCATCATTCCTTTCTTCTCTTCTTTTTTTTATTTCTCCCTCTTTTTTTCTTTCTCCCTCTCTCTCTTTCTCTCTCTCTCTCTCTCTCTCTCTCTCTCTCTCTCTCTCTCTCTCCTTTTCTTTCTTTTTATCGTTTCAACACGACCTCAATTGACTTCTTTCATATAATTAAAAATGTACGACCCGAGAAATATCGCATTCATCATAGGATTAGTTGTTGGAATGGCTGATCAAAAGTATGATTAGAATTACCTAGCGCACTATGCAGGTGTAGAATATTTACACGGGTTGTACATATCGGTTGCTATCATCGATGAACGACGAGGACTTTCTCTCTCTCTCTCTCTCTCTCTCTCTCTCTCTCTCTCTCTCTCTCTCTCTTTGCTCCCTATAGTTTACGTTTCACTACTGCATCATTGCCGCGGACGCGAAGGGTGATTACGAGCGTTACGAATAGCCTGCAATAAAAGCAAACTTCTGCTTTAATTCGACATAACATCGCGGACCATTAAGTAGAGCTAGCACTTCGTCATTTCACCGCCGTCTAACTCGTATTACATATATAACATATATACATACATATATATATATATATATATATATATATATATATATATATGTATGTACATATCTACTTTTGTTCTAGCTACCATACGTTGGTCATTAAATCGAAAATGTTATTTTAAGTATTAAACTTACAACGAGACTTATCCTTGTTTAAAATCATTTAAATTTCGTGAAGACCTACGTACGTAGGTCAAATTTTGAACTCCGTCTCGAAGTATCGTTTTCGTTTCTCTTACAAAAAAAAAAAAAAAAAAAAAAAAAAAAGAAAAGAAAAAAAAATACAGAAAAGAAAAGAGAAATTTTGAAACATAATCCCTTTGAAACGAGACTTATATAGCAACAACGAAAAAAAAGAAAAAAAAAAAAAAAAAAAAAAAAAAGAAAAAAAAAGAAGAAAAAAATAAATGTATACAAGTGAATAAATGATAAAAAAAGAAAAAAGGCACAAAATGCCTCCTTCTTTTTTCCTTCTCCTCGATCTGCGAATAAAAAAAAAAAAAAAGAAAAAAAAAAAAAGAAGAAGGAAAAGAAAAAAGAATAAAAATAAGAGAAAAGATTTAGAGATGTAATTAAATTCTCGTCAATGATCGTATGCACGAGAATCCGTAAGATCATGCGTTAAATAATATCATGCTCGATCTCGCGAAATGGTGGAGATAAATTTGAGACGAGAGAGAGAGAGAGAGAGAGAGAGAAGAAAAAGAAGAAGAAAAAGGACAAAAAAGAAAAAAAAAGGGCAGAAACATTTCGGGGGAAATTTTGTGGAAGCATTTCGTTGGCAAGAGTTACGGCGATGGGAAAAGTCGAGAATGAGATAGAAAAGGGAGGAACGACGGAACGGAAGAAGCTGGAAGAAGAAGGAAGAATGAAGAAAAAAGGAAGAAGTAGAAAAAGAAGGAGAAAGAAGAAAAAGAAGAAGAAAATACTATGTGAAAACGCTGTCAAATGTGCATTTACATCAAGATTCGCCTTTCACTTCTCTCTATCTCTTTCCTTCTTACTATCTCTTTCCTTCTCTCTTTGCATTTTCACACCTTTTGCATTCTCTCTCTCTCTCTCTCTCTCTCTCTCTCTCTCTCTCTCTCTCTCTCTCTCCCTCTCTCTCACTTTGCACCATCAATTATACCGAGAAAGCAGAGAGATACTTCGGATTCTATCTCTCGGTAATATATCTGCCGCGACTATCCCACCCCCCCTCCCCCTCCCCCGTCCCCTCTTCCCCCCTTCCCCCCTACTCTCAAAGCTGTTAACAGCACAAGAACGCGTTTATCGTTATCATGACATCGAGCTATGTACGCTGACGTAGCGCAGAAAGTGCGCGCATCTATCTACTGGCGCTTTTAAAGACGCATGCGCGCACATGCGAGCGCATCGAATTTTTCTTAGTACAAACATCGATAAACTCGACTCTATATATATATATATATATAGATATATATATATAGATATATATATATCTATATAGTATGTATATATATATAAGTTTTTGTTATATCGTAAATAGTAAAAACGTGCCATAATTCACCTAACTTCGCAGTTTCGTTCATAATAGTTCTTATATAACACTGGACGGTCAACGTAGAAAATTATCGCACTCAGGAGAGAGAGAGAGAGAGAGAGAAAGAGTATCGCTCCTGTACGACTGCATTTTACGCTTTTAAATAAACCTTACATGAGATCTTTGTTAAATGCCAAAAGAAACGTACATTTTTCATTTATGATTATTATTATCAATAATACGTATTTATCTCTTTGCTCGTTTAATTAATTAACAATTTTAAATGACATAATATAATGAGAAAAAAATTGAAAAAGATCTTTCGAGAATCATCCAATCCGCCCGTAATTATTTTTTCTGTTGGAAGTCTCGTTAAAAGAAAAAAAAAAGAGAGAGAGAGAGAGAGAAAGAAAACAAAGCAGGAAAGAAAAGAAAAAAAATAGAAGAAGAAGAAGAAGAAGAGAGAAAGAAAGAAAAAAAAATATCAAAAGAAAAAAGGGGGAAGAAATAATCTTAGGAAAGATTTATTGTACCTTATTTCTGATTAAGAAAATCTAATTAATCGTTAATACGTATAATCCGATAAAATGTCAATATAAAATGGTATTAAAATATTTACAAGATCGTTCATTTCAAATGTTCGATGGTTGATCGGGCAACATCTCGAAAACTTCGAGGAGATTCTCTCTTATCCGATTTCTATATGGTTCTACTTTTTCGTATTGGCTTCGTACGAGTTCCGATCGTTTTTCACCGTAAAGAACTTTTTCAAAATCGTCAGGCGATCCCATAAATTCTTCGGCGGCTTGACTTGGCATTAACATTAATTGAAGATTAATAAGTGCGAAAAATAATGCGATATTTTTGGTCTCGTAACAGCTATCGCGAAATGACAACCAAGGTAAACATTCCTCTATATCGAATCCTTCCTCTTTTAATGCTTTCTTCAAGGTATCATGATAAATCTTCAAAAGGGATTCAAAATGTCGATCTCTTGTGGTACGATCGGTTATCAAATATAACGATAAAACAACGTCCATGGCTGGTGGACAATATCGTACCATCTGAAAATCTATCAAATAGCAACCAAATGGTGAACCATTAGAATCGTATTTGAACATGATATTGTTCGCCCATAGATCACGATGGCATATAACATTACGATACTTTTTCGATGGTATTAATAAATTAGGAAATACCAAGGACCAAGAATTAACTCGTTTCTTTAATTTATCCTTATCCTTATTGTTCAATCTATCATCGAGATCAATTAAGAGAAATATTGCATTGATCGATTCCTTAGATATTTTTCTTGCCAATTCGTCCTCGGTAAATATTACCTCGTTAAATAAATGCCCATAAATATCGAATATCGTACGGCCGGTACTACGTAACTTTTCATCAAGAATCAATGATCTCGAGTGAAAGTTCGAGAGAGCTTTTATTGTTAAAATGCAATGTGACTCGTCGAACGGTACGTGTTTGTCGTGTATTACGTATCCCTCGATTTTCGCATTTTCGAGTACTATGATGGAATCCTTTTTACACAAATAACACTCGGCCAACCACTTAAAACCTTTACCAACTCCCATACGACGTATCACGTCGGTGTAAATGAATATCTCTTTGTTAAATGTATCATATCGTAAGATAAATGCATATTGTGGGCTATTGGTTGGTGGTAAAGTTTTAACGAAGAAATTCAATATCTTTATACTAGAATCGTCAAGCTTTATGGTTACGTGAACATTGTAATATTGGCCAAGATAACCGTTCGTATTGTCGACAGATACCATGCTAGAATTTACTATGTTAAAATTATTTCCATGTAGTTTACGTTCCACAATGTATCTTACATCCTGATCCGTGAGTAATTCAGATTTCTGAAGAGTATCATTCGACGAAAGTCGATGCACCGTATCGACGGAATCTGTTCTCATAGTTGTCATAATATCTTTTTCTATTTTCTCTCTCTCTCTCTATCTCTCTCTCTTTCTTTTTCTTTCTCAATAATTCGAGATAACAGTTCTACGCTTTTATACACCACTTTAAATGTTCTATATTTCGAAATACTCGTAGAAAGCAACGTGCTTTCAAATCATACGAACCGAATGAACGATGCACCGACGAATATCGTACGTTCAATGACAATTTATATTCACTCGATTTAAATCTTATCTTGTCACGACAATGTCGTGAAAAAGGAATCACGTGATTTCTTTTTTCTCCCTGTTCCTTATTACTCTTCCTCTCTTTTTCTCTTATTAACAAATAATTCAATGATAACGATGTTGGAAATTTACCAGAGAGAGAGTAAAAGAGTAAGAGAGAGAGAAAGAGAGAGAGAGAGAGAGAGAAAAATGTAATGAGATAGCACCGTTTGTCTACTATCGCGTAATTAAAATGTCTGTAAAATCTTTAAAAACAAACGATATTTATCTGATGATTAAATCGAAATAGCAAATTATATTGAGGATGTTTGACATATATGAAAGTTCAATTAAATCGTGAAATAAATTGTATATAACGTTGGAAATTTATGAAACAAAGATTACACATAAAAATATTTTGTTAATCCGTTTGATACGAAACAAAAGTAGAGAAAACACGAGTGACGTTGGATAAAGAAAGAAAGAAAGAAAGAAAGAAAGAAAAAAAGAAGAGGAAGAAGAAGAAGAAGAAGAAGAAGAAGAAGAAAGAAAGAAAAACGAAGTGTATCTGAGAATTTTAAATCAAACTGATTAATGCGATTGTAGTATAAATCCTTCAAACGATCATCAAATATATGCATTTCACGCGATGCAAGTACACAACGGAGTCTGACAGGGGAAAGACGATATCGCTATGTTAAATCGAAAGATTTCAACGAGAATGCAGACGTCATTAAAAAAAACGTGCTCGTTTCTACATTGCGGAAGTATAATTTTCATTTTATTTTCTCCCTTCCCGCCGCCGCCGCCGCCGCCGCCGCCGCCGCTCCCCCCCTTCACGCCTCTTCTGTTTTTTCATTTCTTTCCTTTCCTTTTCTTTTCGTTTCTTTTCTTTTTAAAGGAATATTTAAACGAGACAATACGATATAAAAAGAACGTCTCGGGAAATATTCTTTCGTGGTTTCGATAGAAAAAAAAAATTTTTATTAAATTATATATATATATATATATAATGAAAAAAGAAAAAATAGAAATAAATCCAAGTGTCTCGTAATACTCATTTAAAGATGAGAGATCGATCTCGTTTAAAAAAGTTTTTCACAATAGGAATCAATATATATATATATATATATATATATAATGTTTGCAAAGACGTGGCCATTATTTCCATGGGTTACTCGATATATCGCCGTATTCTATAGTGGATCGTGTGTCATCAACGCTAGAAACGTAATTAAGCATTGTCGCCTCGACGTCGAACATTCGCTAATTAAAATGGACAAGCTTATCGTATGTATTAACGTGATCGAAACACGGGGAACAAGTTTACGTCGTCTCTCTCTCCTCTCTATCTCTCTCTCTCGTTAACTATATAATATCATATTAACGATTTCGTTAAGAAATAAGACAATGGGATTATAATTAAACTTAAGAACGTATATATCTATGTACGTATATAATATACGTTGATGATTTTCCATGAATTTGAAATGGTTGGTAAGAACCTTTATATAAGATATCCTTCCACTTAACTTTGCAACAAGTTTAAACGCAGAAATTTACTCTTGCTTTATCGTGAGAAAAGAGAAAGAAAGTGAGAGAGAGACAGAGGGAGAGAGAGAGAGAGAGAAAGAGAGAGAGAAAGAGAGAAAGAGAGATAATATAGCTAACTTCTTACAAACAATAAATTAACAAGATCGCACTCAAGGTAACACTCTAGGTAGCTGGTTATGTTACTTTACGCTAACGGAGATAATTCGATTAACATCATTCTAAAGACAGGATGTACTAGCCGTGTACTTTGGGCTTAGGCAATATACATAATAGGATAATTACTGTTGCTAGAGTTTACTTGCTTATAACAAGGTGCAGTGTCTCGAAAAAAAAAACGAGCCTACGTTCGTAAAATTCAGAAAGGGTTACTCTATGACTATGTAATAATTGATAATTAATATTCCTTTCTTTCTTTCTTTCTCTTTTCGCTTTTATTTCCCAACCCCCCCTCCCCAACTTTTTTCTTATTATTATTATTTTTTCCTTTCCTTTTTTTTCCTTTTTTTTTTTTTTTTTTTTTTTTTTTTAACAAACAAGTTAGACTAGCTTTGGATTATAAACAGTACGACGGACGTGGAATAAAATAAAGAACGATACATACTCAACGATCTATTATGTCACATTGTGTTATGAGCGAGGGAACGAGAGAGAGAGAGAGAGAGAGAGAGAGGGGGGGGGGGCGGAGGAGTAGGAGGGAGAGAGGGGAGGAGAGAGAATTATAGGCGAGAAAAGAGAGGGAGTGAGAAAGAGTGAAAGAGTTCTTTTTTATTCTCTCCTTTTTTTCTTTCCTTTCTATCTTTTTTCTTTTTCTTTTGTTTTTTTCTTTCTTTTTTTAATTTTTTTAATTTTTTTTCTTTTTCTTTTTCCTTTTTAGTCCGGTAGATTTATAATTACGTTCGTAGGCATGCAAACGGAACTGGAACGACGCCATTCTCTCAACTACGCGCGTTCGTTCATATCCCCAACCGCCCCCCCCCCCTCCCCCCCAACTCCTTTCTTTTTTATTCTCGCAAATAGTAGAATACGTGCGCGCGCGCGCTCACTCGCCCACATACAGGGTCAAGCGAACGAGCACGATATAAATGCCATTCTAATTAATCGACGTGGTTTTAATTAAACTTTTAATTAACGAGTCGGAAATAAACAACGATTCGAAGAAGAAGCGAGCGTTGCTCTGACCACGCGTACGAATGATTAACTACGGCCAAAATGGAGAGAAGTGGAAGGAGGAAGAAGAATAAGAAGTTTCGTGGGAAAACAAGTGGGATCTCTTCGACGAGCGGCTTGGGAGGGGAAAATAGGGGAGGCTCGAGAGAGGTTAGGCGGGAGTAACGATGGCGGTGGTGGTAATGGTGTTTGAGAAAGAGAGAGAGAGAGAGAGAGAGAGAGAGAGAGAGAGAGGGAGAGGTAAGAAAGGGTGAAAACGTTTATGCGCATAAATTTACACAAAATCCTCGGTGAATAACCAAGCTGGCATCACAACTTCCGGCATATTTGTCTATCTTTTAATTAAAGAGACGACCGCTTGAAAGCCCTAAATTCGATGGGACGGACAACTTGGGATCAAACTTGGATAATAAACGCTCTCGTGAAAATCGCAAGTGAAAAATTATTTGTAATAAGTCGACAGTTCTTTTTGTTCTTATTTCTTTTTTTTTTTTTTTTTTTTTTTTTCCTCGAAGTTGAAAAGGATGATGAAAAGTAGAAAGAAGGAAAAAAAAGAAACAACAAAGGAGAAAACAAATTCGCGAGAGCTCGCTTTTCGATAGGAATCAGGATTATTTTGTTTCTTTTTTTTTTTTCTTTTTTCTTTTTTCTTTTTTCTTTTTTCCTCCCTTTTCTCCCGAACGCTTCACAATTTTCTAAACAATTCGTCGAAGAGTTTAGAGAGAAACGATTTCGAACCTCGCACATTATTAGTCCCCCTATTGATGTTGAAACGCTTTAGAGACAGAGAGAGAGAGAGAGAGAGAGAGAGAGAGAGAGAGAGAGAGAGAGAGAGAGAGAGATTCGTCGATGATCCTTTAGCTTAACAATACAGCAAAGCAATTTGATAGGTATCTATACTACCCTTAGATCTATCCGGATGTCAATTTAGAATCCTATTCAAAGGATGATGTGAAATGTTCCTATTCCTCAGTTTTCTTCGACAATTTTTATTTTCGATAAAATCAAATCGAAATCTTAAAGGTGACCTTCCCTGTAATTCAATTTCAAATAAATAACATTGCAAACGAACAAACGTGCCGTCCTAAGCCATTTGAATGGGGTGTGAAATGTTTCCTTCGAAAAAAAAAAAAAAAAAAAAAAAGAAAAAAAATGGAAAGAAAAAATGAAAAAGATAAGAGAAAGGTAGATAAAGATAAGAATAGTGCCAGATAGTTCTAAGAGCTATCAACTAGTATATACTCAAAGATCGATAGTCGTGCACGAGTATGTAAAATTCTCCACAATCGGATCTAAGCTTTTCATATGACTTTATACTTTCAACGTTACTACAATGGAGAATTTTATATCCGTTGGAAACTTAAAAAGATCCTTGAAAAGTTGCGTACATATGGTATACGTATAAGCAATACATATACATGTATATATATATATATATACACGCGTGTGTGTGTCTCTCTGTGTGTGTGTGTGTATGTGTGTATAGACCTGAAAGAAAATACAATATTTCATACAAGTTCGTTCTCTTTCAATGATAAAAGAGAATAATCCATAAAGAATGAACGACTTGTGAATTGGCACGGTGTATGTACGTATGTACGTTATTCACAAAACCTAAGCGATTTTTCTAGGCGAGAGAGTACGTGAAAAAAAAAAAAAAAAAAAAAAAAAAAAAAAGAAAGAAAAAAGATCATAAAATTCAATTCGACAGATAGAGATAATTGTTTCCTACAATTCTAAAGATTACGATAAAGTATTTTTTCCTAGTCCTTTTTTAATATATTTCATCATCGTAATCCTAATGACATCAATATTTTTTACTCCTACTAATAAATAAATAAAAAAAAAAAAAAAAAAAAAAAAAGAAAGAAAAAGAGAGGGAAAGAGAGAGAAAAAAAGTTACGAAGTAGATATGAAGAATTAAAATAGATCATATTTCGATAAGTCAATATGATACGTGTAATGAGATAGTTTACTTATATAGTGTAATATCTAAAGAATATATATACTTTGAAAGCAGCTGTGAATGAACACGATCGGGTAAGAACTTAACATAAATAAACAGGCTAAGTATACAGGTGGGACATTACGATTCTCTTTACGAGTTTCACCTTAGAGAATAGGTTAGTATGTTGCATATACTTTAAAGGGATAGAGAGATATACACGAGAGACTTAGTAAGTGATCGTATTTTCTGATTCCACTTAAGTAATAATACTCTTTATCTTAATACATAAATGTCTTTTAAGAGATTCGAACGATTGGATTTCATCCTTTTTTTCTTTTTTATATAATGAAACAATTATAACAGATACGTGTCCTAAATATTATTTTCTATTTCAATTATAACACATTTGATATTCTCTTATAACATCGGCGACCAAGTTGAGATCATTACGCCGATAGAATTCACGTATTTGCGAGGCACGACACAAAGACTTATCGGGATAATCGATCTGTTCACGATTCGGACGACCGTACCAATGATTAGTGATCATCGGGACGATATGATGTTTGTTCTCTTGGTAAATCTCCGACCAAATCAAAGAAGGACTTGTACATTCGGCTCGTGGCTTTCGTGGATCGAAATCTTCGTATTTGTGCAATCGATCGTATGCCGAAATTTTCTCGGTTATTCTCTTTTCTTGCTTTTTATTATTAAAAAATGTAATAGAGTGACGTGGTGCGAATGGTTTCGGTATAACCTAAAAATTATTTAAATGATTTAACGAACTATCTATCTTATTTTACGATATAATATTTAATGATAAAAGACAGTAATATATATATATATATATATATATATATATATATATATATACATATATATATATATTATTCTCTTCTAGTTTTATCTTACACCGATATGTTTCCATTTATGAATATGTTCCACGTGAGCTCTCGATTGAACCCACGGCGTAATAAATTCGGTCCGATCCATCTTTACTATTTCTATTTAAAATTCCATAGGCGAGCACAATATGTCAATTTTATAAATTGAAAATCAATCCTTTATATCTCCGTCAGACAGTATGGTAGATTAATATCTTAGATTAGGAAAATTTTCCACTTTCCTTTCCGTCCAAGAATTTTCCCCGCCCCGTTCGCTCCCCACTACCCCCTCCCCCCTCCCTTTCCCTCGCCGCAAAGTCTATCAATAAATTGAAATTACATTTGAATGAGAAAAAGTATACAATAAATATAAATTGAAAACGAAGAGGAGAATCTATCAGAACGTTCAAAGGAAATATATTAACCTATTGAACGTACAATACTATTATACTATAATACAATTTCATTCATATATTGACTATTAATGAAATTGATTGACTACTAACAGTCACACCGCGCCATCTCACGAAATAAGCAGCAAGTTTATAAGTCAGTCATTAGTTCAGCTACTTTGTGTCGTGAGGCGCTACTTGTACGGGCTCGACTAATTTATGTCTTTGGGGGGAGTAGAGAGGGGGAGAGGGGGGGAGGTTAAAAAAAAGAAAAAGTAAAAGTAAAAAAAAAAAATGAAATAACTAATTTACCAAGGATAATCGTACGATAACAATTGAGTATCAAACGGAGAATGAGAAAATTTAATTGACAAAATTTTCAAACGAGAAAAAAAAATTTCATTAACTTTAAACGTCCATCCCTCCTTAAGGGGGAGAGGGTGGAGGGGGGTAGAAAAATTTAAATAAACGAAAGAAACTTTGATGGGTAATAAAACTTTTTTAATGAGTCAAAAAAAGAAAGAAGAGAAAAAAAAAAGGAAGAAAGAAGAAAGAAAGAAGAAGAGAAAAGAAAAGAAAAGAAAAGAAAATGAATCGAATAAAATAAAAAGTTATATACGAAGAAGGAAGTGTGTTTATTGTGATTCTAGTAATGACTCTTAACGCGTTCTACGGTTTATCTCAAGAATGTCAGATACATTCCTAAGCCTAATCACAAAAGGGCACGAATATTCCCATGAGGAGGCTTGCCCTTTTTCGTTCGTACTGAGTTCCAAGTAAAATGCTCCGTGAAGGCGAACATCTGCGGTTGAACAATGTTCCTTCGCACGCACACGTATAAACCACGTTAGTGCGTTTTGTAATGTTACAACGCTTTGCTCTAAACCTCAGGACGGGGAATAAGAGTGCGCTATACTATGCCGAAGATCAAGAAGATTCATTTCTCTACTTTCGTTGAATCTAAGGGAAGAATCATCTAAGGAAGAGAGAGAGAGAGAGAGAGAGAGAGAGAGAGAGAGAGAGAGAAAATACCATGGAATCTTCGATGTCGGACAATAGACGAGCCTTGCGTGCTCGTTTCTTCTTAGAAATATAAACTCTAAAGGAAAAAAAGTTTGGAACGTCAAACGGGAAACTATTCCTAAACGTTCCGATGGAAACTATTATACATACACAACGTTAACTACGTTAACTTAATGAAAAACTATAAAGCACAATGATAATAATTTCTTTCTTTCAATGATATATATACATATATATATATATATATATATATATATATATATATATATATATATATATATATATATATATATATATATATATATATATTATAATAAAATAGAATTTTTTTTTAATATGAAATTTCTCTATCTCTAATCTCTGTATTTTTTCTCCATACTGCTTTTGACAAATTGATACAAATTATTCATTCATTCATTCATTCATTCATTCATTCATTCATTCATTCATAAAGAAAGAAAGAAAGAAAACAATTACATGAGTTTTAAAAATAATCCGAGTTAATATTAAATTTATACATTTAATTTTTAATTATCTGACAGGTCGCATTAATTCAATGCATAAAGATATTTTGATTGATCATTTCTCTTGTTACTATATCGATATATATGTACGTACATTTACATTTACACATACATACATACATACATACATGCATGCATACATACATACATGCATACATACATACATACATACATACATACATACATGCATACATACATACATGCATACATACATACATGCATACATACACACATACATACATACATATGTATGTATGTATATATATATATGTGTGTTTGTACTGTTCGACGATAGTTCGTTACTTAACTTGCAACGTACGTCACGAAAAGGTAGAGTCTAATCAAACTGAACCGTCCGAGGAATACGATTAATTGCCAAATAGAATTAGTATAAGTAAACGTCAGAAACTAAGAGAATTTCTGACCCGTCAACGTGTTACCGTTTTAACCGTTTATCTGTATTACTATGACGATGACGACGATGACGACGATGACGACGATGACGACCATGACGACGATGACGACCATGACGACGATGACGACCATGACGACGATGACGACCATGACGACGATGACGACAATGACGACAATGACGACGATGACGACGATGATGACGATGATGACGAAGATGATGAAGACGATGACGAATTGAAGGATAAGGATGAGAAGTAGGAGGTGATGGTGATACTGATGTTGATGGTGATGGTAATGGTGAAGAAGGAGAAAGAGGAAGAAAAGGATGAGGAAGAAGGGAAGGAGCCGGAGGAGGAGGAGGAGAAGGAGGAGGAGGAGGAGGAGGAGGAGAAACTCGCGTTGCGAGTTTTCGTCCGTTTATATCCAGACGAGCCTCGTCCATCCGTCTCTTTTGAACGAAAGGAGAAAGACTTGTCGTCTCGTGGACGAAACGTAGAGAATC